AATGATAATTCATCCGTCTGTAAAAAAGGGACGATTATATTTACATATATAAGAAATAGATGAAAAAATATAAGATACATCTATTTTCTATAAAAAAACAAATATATTTTGCTAATAAATTATTACAAATGTACTTACACGCTTTGCAATATACTTGCATAACGTTCTGACCACTTTTACCTTACCTTAAAGATAATATATTACATTAATATCAAGTATTATCTGATTCGAAAAATAAAACTTTTTTAATATTTTTAGTATTTAAATATAAAGATAAAATATACTATTCTAATATATATTTAAATAAAACTGTTATTCTAACTAATTTGTATAACAATTATATTGATTGGCAAGGCACTGTGGAATAATGAACTTTTAATAATTATAAAGAAATTATATTTCTTTATGTTGAGCTTTTCATTTTTGACCTATAACATTTAATAAACCACTTAGAATAGAAACGTTGAGTCAAATGGATTAAGGATCAAATATGATATAACCTTAAATTTACATATATAAAAATTTTATTGAATTTCTAACAAAAATAATTTTAAACATAATTATTATTACAAAAATATGATTATATTTATGTACACTTATGATCAATACATACATATAAAGACTCATATGTACATATATAAAAGTTGTTTCCATCATACATAACCCAGTGGAAATAACACTTATCTTAGCAGTTATATAAACACTTAAACATTATACACGAATTGTATAAGATCACAAATTATATATTGTAATATTGGACAAAATTATCAATGAACATATTGCTACTTTGTTAAATATTTACCAGGTTTCCAAGTGGTTTTAGGTGCTACAGGTGTTTTTATAAGTACACTCATGGCTGGGTGTAATTCTACTATCATAATATTAATACTGTGACTCAGCCAGATTCACAGTAATGTACAGTCTCACTTATGACATGCATCAATAAAGAAATTCTCGTCTAAATTTTCTTTTTGCTATCTTCATAAATAACACCATGTCTAAAATATAAAAAAAATATATATATATATATATACAGCACAAGCATACACCATATATATGTATGATATGTATGTGTGTATATAATATGTAGATTTAAATAATTTGTTGATATCTCCATAACTTATCAGCAACAATATTTCATTAAATAAGTTATAAATTTATATTAAAATAAATAAATTCCAATCATATTGCTCTTGAGAATTTATAATCAATATCAATTGACATATACTTACTAAAAAATACAATCAAGACAAAAGCTATCATAAGCCATAACCAGCATCTCCATTTCGAGTTAGTGTGTTCTTCCAGTTTTAAAGATTCCTTCTTTAATTTAGTAGCATTAACATCAGTTAATTTGTCGGACATTTCCAACATGCCAATATCTTTTCTTATGATAGCACTAGCTGCTAATGCATGTTCTTTCATAGTATTAGTCATGGAAAGCATGTTTTCGGCAATTTTCTCCTGAATATTACGATTGTATTTCAAAACAGCATCCAGATCTTCATCTTGAATATTAGAGCTTGATAATCGTTGTCGTATACCATCCTTTTTGCTGTCTGTACCACATAATAAAATTTAATGTCAAGTGTAATATTTAATATTATATATAAAAACATTAAATCACCTTTATTGTTATGAAATAACTCAGCTCGTAATTCTCGACTATACTTAGCAACAGTTTTTTGATGTATTTGCGTTGTAATATTTGTATTGGATGAATTGTTGGAAGATGTAGAATTTTTTGATAATAGTTGTACAGCAATGACTCTCTCCACTGGATTCGACAACTTCATTGCACTTATTACTCCTTTCAGGAAATCAATTCGTTTAGTATAGCTCATCATGACATCTTTGGATGGCTTACTATAAATAGGAAATCAACTGTAATATTATATCTTTAATGTGATCTTTAATGTGATAGTAATAATAACAATTAGATATTAGTTTAAAACTATAATCCATTTATTGCTACAAATGTTTCAAGATATTTGATAAATCATTCATAAACAAAGAATTCAACCAATTGGCTAATCAAAAAATACTACGAAATATTTAAAGCACCAATCCGAAATCACACACATACCACCCCCCCCCCACACACACACACACACACGCGCGCGCGCGCGCGCGCGCGTGTGTACACATGTTAATTAAAGATTATTTTAGTTAATTTTAAAAATACTTACTTCGATATTAGTTTGCAGTGTGTTCATCATATCTTCCAAAG